GGGGGGTGGACAGATGGATGGGTAAATGGAAAATCAGGTGGATGGACGATTAAAGAGGTGGTGGAAGAATGGGATCAGCCATGTTTTGCAGTTCCCCAAATGCAAGCAGGAGGCCCCGAGCATGCGCAGTTGCAGTTCCGGTGCCCAGCAGGAGGCGGTGCTTGCCATGGGCCTGCCCTGCCCGCCATCGGACAGCAGGGCTTCTACTCTACTGCCCAGTCTGAGTGCCCCTTTTGTCCCCTGTGTCTCAGCCCTGCACTTTTAGTTTTCTTCTTTACCCAAGAAATGCTCATTGTCCTCTTTCGTGCTCTCTGCAAAGTAAGACGGTTCCATGTCCTACCTGGATATTCTTTGTAAAACCTGTGTCTCAGGATCCGCCCATCTGGAAAACAAGGAAAAACCTCTCTCAGGAGTTTGTAAGGCCAAAACTGGCTTCACAGTAACACTACGGAATTGTTTGTGTTTTTCACTCGCGTTCTTTCACGAGTGTATGATGGAACGTTCCAGAGACGACATGAAGTGTGATAGCCCCCTCCCCAGGGATGAACTGTGGCCCATAATGCCACAAGGATACCCAGGCAGGTGTGGACACTGGACACCCTCCTCAGGCCAAATACAATTTATGACCAAAAGTGATTACACGTTGCTTTTATAAACAAATTTCCTCCTGCTCAAGGCTGCGTGAGCCCCACGTTTTCTTCCTGGGAGCCTCCCGGCCAGGACAGGATGGGCCGGTCTCCCATGTCTCAGCTTCTGCATGGTCTCGAACACATTCAAAAAATGCACCAATTCCCTCCAACCCCACTCTCTGAAAAGCCACATTTCCTGCATGTGTCCACATTCACTTTCCTCTTGCAGAAAACACGAGCCCCTCAGATGTCTGTTTGCAGCTGCTGGATGGTCAGACTTGGCCGTCGGCACCCTCCAGAGCCCCTCTCGGGGGAGACTTGCATCTTAGGTCTGGGCGTGAGGTCCGCTACTTACCCTCAAATGGTCCAGAAAAACACATATGCAGATTTATACAGAATGGGGGGGTCAGGGAGAGGGGGAGAGAGAATAATAAATAAAATGTGATAATATTTTAACAACTGGTGAATCTGCGTGGAGGGTCCAAGGAACTATTCCGGCAACTTTTCGTAAGTCTGAAAGTATTTCAAATATGCAGTTAAAAAAAATAAAACTTCGATAAAAGCCTTCTTCCTTGGTCAGGCTGGGACGAGAGCGGCCACTTCTCCCCTGAGATTTTTGCTCCAAGGGAAGGTGCTAGAATTCAAGATGTTTCCAAGCCCTTGGATAATTACCAATAAATTACCAACAATTACTGCTAAGTGACAGCCCTCTGAGGTCTAGACTGGGGGGAATTCCACTTACATTCCACTTGGAAGGCTCCGGTCATTCCCATGGGAGGGGAAGCTCTCTCTCTCTCTCTCTCTCTCTCTCTCTCTCTCACACACACACACACACACAGACACACACACACAGACCACGCACGGCTCTGAAGCCGGGGGACAGGCTTGGAATTCCAGCTCTGCTCCCCATTAAACCACGTGCATTGTCTGGGCAAGACCCGAACTCACGTCCCCTCTTCCTGAGAGAGGGAGGACAGTGGCACACACCCGCTGAGGACCTACCATGCATCGGACGCTGTTCTGAGCACTTCATAGGAAGCCTCGTAACTACTCCACGAAGCGGTTACTATGGTTACCATCACCCTCTCCATTTTACAGATGAAGAGACTGAGGCTAAGAAAGGTGAGGTGAGCCGTCCAAGGCCAGCAGGAGGCAAGTGCAGGCTCGGAGCCTGTTTCTGTGGTTCTGACCTGCACGATTAAACCCAAGCAGCACGCCCCGGCCCCACCACTCCCTGCAGGCTGCAGCGACGCTCACAGACGGCGCTTACGAGGTGCTCGCCAGCAGTCGGCACCATCGGCGCCGTCATCCTTTAGGGATCTGCCCTCTGAGCTTAGCGCCATCCTTGAAGTGGGTCTTTCCTGAACTGGTTCAGACCCTCAAGACCTGGTTTGAACCTGTGTGGCTTACCCTGGTCTTTGCGTAAGGATCGGGGATGAGGAAAGGCAGGGTGGTTGGAAGCCGTTCCGATGACAGAAATGACAGTATAGTCCAAAGAACTCCTAACTCACCCCACAGCTCTCTTTGGAAAGGGCTGTCCCTTCCGCATTCCAGCAGTTTCCGACAGGCTGGCCAGCCCTCAGGGTTTCGAGTCCCCAAATGGCCCCATATCCCATCCACCTATGGTGTGTTTGGGTGTCTAGACAGAAGCAATGATGAAACAGCAGAAATTCTGTCCTGTGCTTGTGAATCACAGACATGGTCTACGCGGATTAACTCATTTACTCCTCACAGAGTCCTGCAAAGTAGCTCAATTATTATTCGCCCGTGAGGCAGGCTAGGGTGAGGTTATTTGCCACACACAGCCGTAAGGGGCCAGTGGCCATGGGAGCCCAGTTATTGGCTGGAGAACCCACCCCGTAACCCCAAACTAAGCCCTGCAAATAGCAAGTGGAATGTAGAAGAAATCATAACGATATCTATTGGGTTCATATCCTTTTATAGGCAATTTTTGAAAAGATCAGGATTCTTGAGACAGTTCTAATATCTCATGATTGTATTTGCGATGATAATGATGTTAAACAGGTAACTGATTTTATATCTATGTCTTTCTCGAAACACTGCAGAGAAATAAATTCTCAAATCAGAAAAAGAAGAGTTTTGGTAGATCATGTACCTCTAGGCATACTTTTGGCAAACGGTCTCGGTGGTTATCATTACTCTTGACAGAGGGTCTTGACCTTAGCTGTCAGGGATAAGAGATTCAGAAATGGGGACATGGGCCCTTGGGTGGGTGGTCTTAGTTTGATTGAGCTCGTCTGTGATGTGGTGAACCTAGAGCACCCTGAAGTCCCGGATTCGTGGCATGTCACACATTTCCCCTAAACCCCACGCCAAAACTCGGGTTGGAGTCTCTCCACCTTACGCCTTGCATGGGGCTCGAGAGGGTTTTAGATACCACCAGGAGTCCTTGCTCTGCTGCCCTTTCCTTTCTGGGAAAATTATGCAAACGAAAGCAATGCGATGCACTGATTTATTTATTGCCTCTGACTCCACAGAGAACACTAATTAAGTCAAACGGAATAGTCCTGGCAGAAGTCCTGGGACGTTTCTCAGGCAATGCAAATGCCGTGCAGCTTAAAACAGACACCGATGCTCCTCGGCTTACAACGGGGTTACGCCCGATAAACTCTTACTGCGTTCAAAATATCGTAAGTCAAAGATGCACTAAATACACCCAACCTCCCAACCATAGCCCGGATGTTGGCCTCACCTACCTTAAATGTGCTCAGAACACTGACGTTAGCCTAGAGTTGGGCAAAATCGTCTAACACACAGCTTATTTTCTAATGAAGTGGTGACTATCTCATGCAATCTATTGAATGCTGTACTGAAAGTGAAAGCAGAATGGTTGTGTGGGTGCTCGAAATACGCTTTCTACTGAATGCGCAGCGCCTTTGCACCGGCATCGAACAAATGCTACATCTGAGTGTGGATGGATATAAAATACCCAGCGTTTACTGACCACCTGCTAGTGACTGGCTCTGCTCTGAGGGCTTTGCACGTGTGATTTCAATCAATCCCCACATCAGCACGAAGTAGCCCCATTTTACAGAGGAGGAAACTGAGGCTCAGAAATATGAAGAAATTGACCCCAAAGTCACCCAGCCAGGAGGTGCAGAGCTGGGAGAGTCACATGCGGGTGTGGCAGGGAAAGGGTAGAGGGAAGATGGGAGCAGCTCTCGGCCAGGCTGGGCTCAGTGGCTGTCCCCTGGGGCAGGGGCCAGGAGCTGGGACTGGGGTGCCCACACTCACCTGCTGGCCGGCGCTGCTTGACACACTGCCCGCGGTTGGGGATGCCCTCAGCCATGTCACCAGGGCTCAGGATGTGGCACTCATAGCCTGAGGGACACAGCAGCGGCTCTGCCCCATCCTCGGTGGTGCTGCACGCCTCTGCTGTGGGAGGGACACACGCCGGGGTCTCAGAGGGCAGACCCTGGGAAGGGTGCAGAGAATGCGCCTTGCCCAGAGAGGCCGCCTCCCGTCTGCACCCAGATTCCGGACCGCACCCTGGGTCTCACTCAGAGGCTTGTGTGCATGCGCGCGCAAACACACACACACACAGGCAGTCCAAAGTCACATGATCCCAAATATACTCTCACATGCACGGTGACACACATACACACATGCTCACTGATACATCCTGCAACACATACACACATACCTACAGTCACACGTGCGCACACGTTTACACACACAAATCCTGACACACAAGCACACGCAGACACATACATACCTGTTCACCTACACACGCAAGTCCTGTGCACGCCCACCCAGGTATCAGTCACACACACATGTTCACACACTCTCACGACACAGTCACACTCCTTTGCACACACAGATACACACGTTTTCAGCCACGGCCACGCGAGCAGTGACGCGGCTGCCCGCACAGCTGCACACCTGGTGGTCGCAGCCACGCACACAGATGGGTGTGGAGTCACAGCACAGTGGCACACGTGCGAGTGTGCACGCTCACAGCCCGCACCTCTCTAGGCCCCGGGCCCACGTGTTCCTTTCAGCGTTTGTTCTCCTGCTCCGAGCACCCACACAGAGTCCTCACGTTAGGGGGCGGCGAGCCCCTTATCACCTGTTTAGGACTTGAAAGCCAACCCGCAGCTCCCTCCCTCTCAACTCTCCACCAGGAAGGGGCCCCTCCCGGGGAGACTCAAAACCCTGGTCCTGTTCTGGGTTTTGATTTTGGCCAAGCCCCTGACTGGCGACCCCTCTGTGTTGGGTGGAGGGGATTGAAGGGGGCCGAGTGTCTGGCTGAAGGGCCCGTGCGTGGGGGACACGCAGCCCGGTGCTGCCGGCTGAGAAGGAGGGTCGTGGCTCTGACGTGGGGTCTGGCCGCGCCCGGTACCTACCTTGCAACACCTCCTCAGGGCCGTCCAGGAGCCAGCCGTTGCCACCGAGCCACCGAGGTTTCGGCTGCACCAGCCAGTCTAGAACTAACAGAATGCATGGTCGAATGGAGGCCCTCCTCGGGCATTGAGAAATGCCTCGCACTGGGGACAGGGGAGCCCCCATTTCGTGACGGCACATGGGGCTCCCCGCGGGATAAATGACTCTGGTTCCCAGCACACCTTCGCACCCTCCTCCTGGTCATAGAACCTGTGAGTGTGGGCTGGGCACTGGCCACCAAGCTGGAGACTACCCTGCCCAGCCTCCCTTGCAGCCAGGCGTGGCCAGGTAACGGGTTCTGGCCAGGGGCCTACGAGAGGGAGTGATCGTGCAACTTCCCGTCGTGCCCGTGAATTGGCGGCTGCTTGCTCCCCTCCCAGTGTCTTCCCTTTCCTTCAGGCTGGCAGCCACTTCGACCACATGGACAAGGGCATCACTCAGACTGCAGAGCAACAAGAGTGAGGGAGCCTGGGTCCCTAGAAGGCTTTGTGGAGCAGAGTCATCTACCCGCCACAGATCACCTGTCTACCTCTGCACTATTAACCGAGAGAGAAGTGCATGCCTCTCGGCTTGGGTCTCTGTGTTTAGGGGTCTTAGCATAGCCTGTTCTCTAACCAATACATTCGCAACAGTAAGCGCCACTCACACAGTGCACTGGACGGCCTGCAAAAGGCAGGGTTTGGAAACTCAGATGCCCCAGCGGCCAGGTAGGTAACATAAACGGGAGAACGGGCGGGCTGGGCCACGGCAGGGTGGAGGGCGCTTTCTGCCTAAATGGGCCAGCTGCTGGCTGGCTCCGGGCTGCCGCTCCCAACGTTCCCAGAGCTTCTGGTGTTTGGTTTTTGTTTGTTTGTTTTTAAAAACACCAATCATCTGGTTTTTAAGTGTTGACAACAAATTAAAAGACCTTAAGCATTATGGAGATAAAACTGTTCTGGAATCACATTTGCTTGTGACCCCTGCTTTAGTCTGACTCCAAAATATGACAAAAATAAAGATTAGTAACATTTATCTTTAAAAAGATAATAGAAAAAGAACTATCTAGCACCTTCTAAAGTTGGATAATTCTAGTTGTTGGGGGAGGGGACTGGTAAAAATGCTGGTTAACTTTTCCTTTAACAGGGCACCAGCTGATCGTAATGACATGGAAGTTGGACAGCAGAGGGAGGAAGCGCCGTTCGCAATTTCCCAGACGGAGGGAGGACGTGAGGGCTCCGCAGCCTCCGTTTCCAGCCCTCTGGTTCCGCCTTCCTCTCCCATCACCTTGGACCGCATGTTAGAAAACGTTTTCAGAAAGAAAACACATTCACATTTACCATTTGCATTCTCTTTTGCATTGATCAGAGGCTTCTGAGCAGCAGGGACATGTATAAATTTTGCCACATTTTTTGGAATAGTGAACCTTGGTCAAGGCTTCCTGTCTCTCTATTTGAAGACCCCTAAAGGCCTGGTGGCCCCAGGGTCTCAGCTGTCCACGCGCTTTCTGGAACTACCTGGGATCACCTCCCATAGAAGACTCCGGGTCTGCTTTGGAGGGACCCAAACGAAAGTGGCAATGAAGTGTGGAAGGAGCTGGGAACGGGGCCTGGTGTATTCCATGTCATCTCGTGTTAGACCAGCGGTTCTCGATCTGGAGCAATTTTGTCCCCCAGGGAATATTTAGGAAAGTCTAGGGACAGTTTTGGTTGTCACGACTTGGGGTGGGGGTGGTCCTGACAAGTGGAGGCCAGGGATGCTGCTAAACATCCTACAGTGTTCCCTCCCTGCCAACTAGAATTTTCCAACCCCAAATGTTAATCGTGCCAAGGGCGTGAATATTATTATCATTATCATTACTATTACTAACTAATGGTTTGATTGCTCTTCCTGCTGGCCAGTGAGTGAATGAATGATGCAGTACTGAGTACCTTTAGTGCTGAGTACCTTTAATGTGCCCAGAGACTGTACGAGGTGCTGGGACACAGCAGTGACCAGAAGAGATAAAACTCCCTGCCCTGTGTGGCTGACCCTCGAGTGGGGAGAACAGGCAATGAACAAACAGTAAAACCCAATTTTCCAGATCACGCTATAGACAGAAATGAAGCAGGATGGAGGGGGAGGGCTGGCCGGAGGAGGGACTGTCATTTCAAGAGGAAAATCTTCCCTGAGACAGTAGCCTCTGGGCACAAAGGTCTAAAGGCAGCGAAGACGTGCGCCATATGTTATCTGCGGGGGGGATGTTCTGGGCAGGGCAGGACCCCGCACGTGGGCCCGGGTGCTGGAACAGGGGCCCCACATCCCTGCACTCAGGGCCTAAGGCAATGGACACTTCTTTATGGTCAGACAACCGGATTGAAACCGCAACTCTGTCTGCTGTGTGACTTTGGACAAGTGACTCAATTTCGCTGAGTTTCAGTGTCTTTAGCTGTACAATAGGTCTGATAATAGTCTGCCCCAAGGAGCTGTGTGAGCACAGAATGAGATGATGCATGGAAAGGCTAACAGGAATGCCACGTACTGTTGCATAGCTTGTGCACTGCGCAAAAGCACTTGGTCTAGGCAGCAAGTGAGTCTAGAACCCCTATGCCAGGTTGTATCCCAGAGGAAGGGGCACATTTTTTGATTTGTCTTTTTGTGCTCTTCCACCAGGAGAGGGCACCATTTTGTCTTTGTTAGGAAGGCTGGGTAGGAGGCAGCCTGGCCTTGAGCACTGGCCCAGTGCCTGCCCAGAGGCAATATTCATCAGTTCCAGGCTGCTTGTATGAGCACTGCAAGACTAATTATGAGCATCATTAAGTGTGCTGAGGCCCTTGTCACCACCGTGACCTCGCTCCAAAGAACAAAGCATGGCCATTCTTGCCTTCTCCAGCTCTCTCAGCCGTGGAAGGAGAGGGGGGGGACACCTTCTACGAGCCACTCTCAGTAATTAAGGCCCATGGGAGCCCGCGGCCTCCCGAGGGAAGGCGCAGTCCAAACAGGCTGCTGTCATGTAAAGGCTGAGCCCTGCACAGAACTGAGGGCGCAGAAAACCTCGCTGCCCCCCAGTCCTACTGACTTAGGGGCACATTTTCCCTGCCCAGGAAACAGCTACCTGTCCACCCCAACCCCTACCTAGTGTCCCCGACGGGCTCCCGTCTCTCCCCTTCTCTCCAAAAGGGATCCGAAACTCCTCCCTGCCAAAGATGAACCCTGAGGACTGTCTCTCCCCAGGAGGGCAGCATCGTGATTGCACGAACCCCTGCTCCTCCCGGACAGAGCACTGAGCACTGAGCATCTCCACCTGCTCCGACTCCTCCGTGAGCTGTGTGTTTTCGTGTCAGCCTGTTTTGCAGGAGAGGAGACTAAAGGAAGCGACAGCCGGCCAGGGGATTTGAACCCAGGACTTTGCTCCCCGCCCCCTACTCCCCATGCGCTGGGGTCCTCTGCCTCTCTGGGGTAGCCCCGGTCGGGATTGCTAAGCACCCAGTCCCCATGGCACATACCCACAAGGCCGGCATGTGAGTGAAGCAGGCCTGGTGGGGTCAGTGGGGAACTAGAGGACCTTGTCCATCCAGCCAATGGTGGCCCAGAGAATATGGTCCCATATTTTAAAGAAAGGCCCCAAATCTAGATTTTTTAAAGTGAGAAGTCTCACTGCACCCCCATCCTCATACCAGGTGGCATTTTCCCTGGAAGGGCATCCCCTGGGCTGGAGGCTACTCTGGGCAGTGGGGTGCCCCCCCCCCAACAGGACGCTTGCTGGAGGAGCTGCCACCCGCCCCACTCCAGGAGCGCGAGAGAGGAAGTGACCCGCGCACAGGTGGTCCCACTGTACCCCCAGCTCCTTTTCTCCCCGTTGGGCTCTCCTCCCACCCCGGGCCAGCCAGGTGGACCCCCGGTGCCCCTCCCGGGCCTACCTGGCGGGGGCGGCACGGCCTCCAGGCAGGCGTAGGCGCAGCCGTTGTAGCAGCAGCGCCGGTGGCGCGGGCACTCGGAGTCGGCCTGGCAGCGCGCGGCCTGGCAGGCGCCGGGGGGCAGCGTCCGCGGGGGCGGCGGGCAGCGGTCGGCGCGGGGCTGTCGGGGGCCGCCGGGCGCGCCCACATCCTCGGCCTGCGGGACAGGGAGGCGTCGTCAGGCTGCAGGTGTCGTCCGCCCGGTGCGCCCCGAGCTGGGCACCGCGGCCAGGACGCCCGGCCTCTCTGAGAGCGGCGGCCGCAGAGGGCGGCTCCGGGTCGGAGGCTGCTGCGTTTCTCTTTACTGCAGGCCGAGCCGGGACAGCCAAAAGCCCCACAGTAAAAGGATAAATGAATCTTGGTCTGTTTGCTGGAGAACAGTTTGTGTGTGTTATCTACTCTGTGGCAAATATACGTATGTTATGTATTTGTATACATGCATATAGATCATGTGTATATATTAATATACACATATACTTCTATGTATACACATAGTTTTTTTCTTGTTTTTTTTTTTTCAGAGACAAGGTCTCACTCTGTCCCCCAGGCTGGAGTGCAGTGGCCAGATAGCTCACTGCAGCCTCAAACTTCTGAACTCAAGTGATCCTCCTGCCTCAGCCTCCCCAGTAGCTGGGACTACAGGTGCACCTGATGCTGGACTAAATTTTTAATTTTTTTGTAGAGTTAAGGTCTGGCTATGTTGCCCAGGCTGGTCTCAAACTCCTGGCCTCAAGCGCTCCTCCTGCCTCGGCCTCCCACAGGGCCGGGATTACATAGTGAGCTGCTGTGCCTGGCCTTAGTTGTACATGTAGATTTCTTATAGCCCATATGTTTATCTAGAGTTTTGGGAACTTACAAATCATGCATGGAGGGCATAAATACATGCCACTACTTGGATAGATCTTGCAAACATAATACTGAAGGGGAAGAGCTCAAAGGGAACACACAGAGTGATTCCACATGTACGTATAGTTCACAAACAGGCAAAGCTGATGTCTGGTGTTAGAAGTCAGGCCCCGGTCACCTGTGGTAGTGACAGGCCGGTCCCTGGGGGCTGGCCCTGCTCTGTTTCTGGATCTGGTGCGGGACACGGTGTGTTTACTGTGGGAATCCATGGAGCTGGGCACTTCGGATGTGTGCGCTTTGCTATTATGTTTCAATAAAAAGTTAAAAAATAACTTAGCACTGTTAGCACTGTACCTAACATACAGGAATACGGGTGAGTGGACAGTGACATAAGCGTGTCTGGGCTGAGGTTGAGAGTGTGAGCCACCAGGCCGCCCGCCTGGGGCCCTCTGCACCAGCCCCCATCCCCACCGGTAACGCGGTGCTGCTTCTGCACTTGAAAATGGGATGTGTGATGGGCGGGTCACATGGTCACACACACGCACACACGTGCAGAGTTCGACATAGAAGGGACTCATTGGAAAAAATCACCCTGGCCTGCCCTGCCCCCTGGCCTATGCCTAACTGTTCCTTTCATCTCAAATGCTTTACCTATTTGCCCCTAAGTCCTCCCCCAACATATACGTGTTTCACAATCCTGCCTCCTTGTAGTGCCCAAGCAAATCACGTGTGTCTGCAGACTGGGACAGCACGCAGCCATTAGGACCTGACCTTAACGTGTTCACAAAAAATGAAGTAAGACTCAACGTGCTGATCACCTGGATGCGGTGGTTCATGAGAAAATCAAGGTGTGGAACAGTGTGTATGCTCTGCACCTGTCTGTGTTTTTAAAAATTTAGTTTTTGTCTATATAAAAATATATATTTGTATTGGCCTAGAACATTTTTGGAAGGGGAAGGCTACACAAGATTACACAACAAAGCATTAGGAAAGATTGCCTTGGGAGAGAAAAATTGGTTCCAAAGCGGAGAGAGATCTCTTCTCATCGTTTACTCTTTTGCACCGGTTCAATACAAATATATATTTTTACCATGTATCCATTGCTTTTCCAATTTAAAGAAGACAATTAAAATTTTTTAAACTTTATAAGTAGAAGTACTTATAAAGAATTTTAATGACTAATAAAACACTTATGATATATTTGTGTGTAAAAAAAGCAAGATATAAAATGGTATATGTAGTCTGACCTCAAATCTATCTATCCATCTGTCTATCTATCCATCTGTCTATCCATCTATGTTAAAGCAAAGGGCAAAAACAGTGACAGGGCAGGAAGGACACGCCCCCAAGTAGTAATGATGGTTAGTACTTCCTGGTAGGGTTATGTGATTTTTTAAAAACTCTTTATACTTTTTTAGTATTTTTTATTTTTTTCTACAATGAGAATAAATTTCTACACGTAGAATGATTAGCAAGAAAAAAATTAAATAAATGCACACAGCCACACAGATACCCACACGAAAGGGAAATTAAAAACACCGCCCAACTTTGTTGAAAGAACAGAGCTAACATTCTACTGTATGCCATCTAAACAAATGCACACATTTGCGTGCTGGTATGCAAACATAAAAATCAAAAGCTAGTGAATAAATCATATAAGAATATGATTTTAAAACAAGACCTGTGGCAAATACTTAGTATGAAATGCAAACCGTAGTAGCCATATGATGTTTCCAGCATATTAACAGTTTGCTGAAGTGTAAATTCTATATAATGGTGCTCTACAGAATAAAAGAATAAAATTGAAGGAGAGAAAAAAACCCTCCCCACCACCTTAAGAATGGGTTTGGTCACCCTAATTTACAGATGATATTAATACCACTGAGGCTCAAAGCTGGGAAGTGTATATCGCCCGGGGACACAGCCGGTGAGAGGCGAAGCTGGGTGTAAGTCCAGTCCTGCCTGACTCCAAAACCACACTGCCAATGTTCAACAAGGGTGCCAAGGCAATTCGCTGGGGAAATAATAGTTTTTCCAATAAGTGGTGCCAGCTGAACTGGATAGCCACAAGCAAAAGAATGAAGTTGTGCCTAAAAGGATGACGCTGGGCCTCTGCCTCATTCTATACGCAGAAAACAACTCAAAACGGACCAAAGACCTAACTGTGAATAAACCTCTTAGAAGAAAACACAGGAGTCAATCTTCAGGACCCTGGATTAGGCAATGGTTCTTAGAAATGACACCGAAAGCACAAGCAACAAAATAGCAAGTAGATCAGTAGGATTTCATCAAAATTAAAAACCAGGCTTCAAAGGACAGCATCAAAAAAAATCAAAAGACAATTCAAGGAATGGGAGAAAATATTTGTCAATTACTAAATACAATCTGCTAATGGACTTGCATATAGTACCTATAAAGAACTCTTCCAATTCAATAATAAAAAGACAAATAATCCATTAAAAGATGTACGAAGGATCTGAATAGAAGTTTTTCCAAAAAATAAATCCAAATGACCAAGAATTACATGAAAAGATGCTCAACGTTATTAGCCATCAGGGAAATGCAAATCAAAACCACAATGAGATACAATGTCACACCCACTAGGACGGCTGTAATTACAAAGACAATGCGTGTTTGCAAGGGTGTGGAGGATCGGAACTCGTGCGCTCCTGGTGGGAATGTAAAATAGAGCAGCCACGCTGGAAGAGTCTGGCAGTGCCTCCAGATATTAATTATAGAGTTCTATGATCCAGCAATTCCACCCCCAAGAGTAGAGAGAAAACATATGTCCACACAAAAGGCTGAACACAAATGTTCACAGCAGCATTACTCATAACAGCGCCAAAGCGGAAACAACTCAATGTCCATCAACTGCTAAATGAACGAGATGTGTCCCGTCCGCACAGTGGGGTGTTATTTAAGTTCTGACACAGGCTGCGATGTGGATGAACCCTGAGAACGTTACGCTAAGTGAAAGAAGCCGAAACTAAAAGGCCACATGCTGTATGATTCCATTTATGTGAAATGTCCGGAACAGGTAAATCTATTGAGACAGAAAGTGGATTAGTGGCTGCCAGGGGGCAGGGGGAGGTGACTGCTGATGGGATGGGGTTTCTTTTTAGGGTGATGAAAATGTTCTAAAACTACTTACAGTGATGGCTGCACACTTGTGAGCACAGCAAAGGCGCACACGTTCAAGGGGTGCACTGCATGGTATGTGAAGCTGTTACTAAGAAACACCACGCTGCCTCCTTCCAGAATCCCTCCCCAACCCTGACCCGCCACTGGGTGTGGCCCTCCCTCCTCCAGAGGGGTCCTGAAACTCTTCTACTTGCTGGGGATGGTGGACGGATGGGAGTCCCTTCCTCCCCGTGCCACCCTGACCCCACCCGCAGGACCTCTCCCAGTCGATACGTGTTGAGGTGGGCGGCATGGCATCGCCACGCTGGGGTGTGTGCCGGGAGCAGCCCAAGGAAGACACTTCGATAGGAGAAGATGCTAAAGCCGAGCCCCAAGGAGCCGTCGAGAGGAGAGAAGTCTCTGTGCAGAGTGAGGACACAGTGTCCGAGCTCCGGCTCAATCTAGACTTGAACACGCAGAACTACACAAAGCTGCAGACGCAGTGTGGACGCCATCACCTCCAGGCCGCGCCCTCTGCCCGAATGTACGTTCCTCCAGGTCTGCAGGCGAACGCCTCTCTGGACTCAGATCAACCCTCGCTTCTGGGATGTGCTTCCTTAACCCCGGCCCTTCCAGGCCAGGATTGGAGCCCACACCCTGTCCCCACTCCATGTCCCATAACCCCAACCGTCCTAGCTCTTGTCACCCTAGATCAAAGTTGTCTGTATAAACCTCTCATCCCATGGAAGGGGTGGGCAGCCCCCGAGTGAGGGCACAGAGTCTTCCGTATCTCTCTGCACCCTCGTGTGGCTGCCTGAGTAACGGTCCCCAAAGATACCAGCTCCCACGCCCCGGAATCTGTAAATGTGAAAGAAAAAAAGCGTCTTAGCAGGTGTGGTTAAGTTAAAGATCTTGACACGGGGAGATTATCCTGGATTAGCCAGGTGGGCGATAAATCCAGTCACAAGTGTCTGGGGAAGGTGGGGCAGAGGGAGATCACGGGCGCGCGCATACACACACACACACACACACACACACACACACGCGCGCGCGCGCGCACACGCACAGAAGGCCACGTGGAGAGGGAGGCAGAGCTGGGAGTGACGCGCCCACAAGCCACGCAATGGCAAAGATCACCAGCAGCCCCCGGAGCTGGGAGAGACGAGGAAGGTCCCCCTGGACCCCCCAGAG